CTTCCAACCCCGACCACTCTGTCAATCTGTGAAATACAAGCCCAGTGCTGCCACTGAAGTGACCTGATGGGAACCAGTTCATCACCCTGAGTGTTCATCTCTTCAGTATGGTTAAACACTAAACCATCTCCTGGTGGTCTCACCAGCTCATCCTGGGTAACAAAGGGCAAAGTTTGGCTCTCCCTGGTCCAGTGCTGTCTTTCAGCGTAGCCTAGAGGCCCAGAGCCCATGGAACATGGCAGCAGGAGGTCTGTGTCTGAATGACGTCCTCATGGTATCTGATCTCAGGTGCTACCAGCTGTGGTCTGTGCCCCTCCTCAGCTGAGCCAGAGGCAGTGGAATAGAAACTTTCCATGTTTACATTACCTGTTTCCCAGCTAATTTTTAACTCGGGCAGACACTTCCTGTATATACACAAGGATGACAAAAGCACAAGATGTCCTTGTGGTGACCTTTCTAGCCCAGCCTGTCTTGCGAGCTGTCTGGGAGAAATCCAAAGGGCGTCAGGGCTCAAGTGTGTGCAGATAAATCTCAGTAAATGTCTAAGTCCACCCATACTGTGCCCCATATAAACAGACTCCAGGGTGATGGAGCAGCATCCCTTCCTCCATGCCAGCACAGAGCGGGTGATTAATAGGTATAATGAGGACAGAGCAAACAGATGTCACTAGTTGAAGCAGGGAAGTTCTCTCCCTTGGTGTCACAAAGAGACTATACAGAAGCTCCTACTTCCCAGTAGCCATGCTGGCTCAGCAAGAGCAGTATGGAGGGATAGGAGCTTCTGCTTCCCAGCAGTATACTGGCTCAGTATGGGGTAGATGCCTTTGGAAGGTGGGAGAGACTTTCTCCTTTCACTGGTTAAATACAGCTGCAGCTGGGCTTTGGTGAAGGAGTTGGGAACCAAAATCCCTTTGTGTGTCGGAGCTGCGGTCCTCAGCGTAGACTCCACAGTAGTTTCCTTTGCCGGCTTGCCCTGTGGCACTCGCAACCCTAGGAACAGGAGGGAAGCGGAGAAATCCCAAGCTCATCTTTTCTCCCCCCTTGGTACCAGCACAGGGGATTCCCAGGCACTTGCTCAGTTGTCTTGCGGGGGTATGGGTTACTGCTCAGAGCACAGCCCTTGGAGGGCGGGGGAATGCCTTGCTGGAAGGCTCCAGGCTCCGCATCAAGCCCAGAGACGAGATGAACAGGCTCCTGCCTGACTGGAGGCAGGTGGCTGTGGGAGATGTCTTGTAGGTCAGGCTGCCGTAGGGGCAGGCAGGAGTCCAGGTGGTCGCGGTACCGGCACCGGAGCATGCAGCGCAGATCACACCGGGTCCTTCAGCCCGTGCTGCGGCGTTGGTGTGCACCACCAATGGCACCGGCGTGTGCTGGGAGCACGTTGGCAGCAGCCGTGGCTGTTCGGGCTCTGCTGTCACATCTAGAGACAGTTTCCTTCGTTGACAATGACAGCCTGTTTAGTACTTTCAGTATTATTTCAGAATCTAAGTCACAGTAAGCTGCTCTGTGAAAAGCAGCAAGTTTTCCATAGGCTTGTTTCAGTAGGAGTAGGAGCAGGATGGTGACCTGGCGGGAAACTCAGCTCTGGATTTTGGGTGTTGCTTTGCAGTTTGCAGGTGTTGAAGTCCAGCCTGGCTGATTTAATGACAGAGCAGGTTCAAAGGGCCTGGACATTCTGATTTAGCAGCTATGACAACTTTGCAGAGTCTCTGTTGTGGATCTAACTTTTGGGTGGGTTCTGCAACAGCCAAGGGAATTTTTTTGTCTGCTGGCACTCTTAGAGTTCAGGATGGGCTGAAGCTCCAGATCAGCAGCTCAGGAAACCTGGAAAGAGGTCTGGAGTCCTCAGCCCAGTGTCACTCGGTGGACCCAACTGCACCTAGCAGAGACAGAGAACGGAAGTGCTCACTTCTGGAGCTGCTTACGGGCTAGCTCGGTATCTGGCATTATTTTGGTTATTCTGAAAACAGCTCTAAATCTTCCAGAGGAATCTTTTCCCCTTAAGACTGCAAGACTGGCTGGAGATTGCTAGTGCACAAGGTAGTCACACTGTGACCTGCAGTGCATTCCTGTAGCAGGAGGTGACAGTTGAGCTGTATAGATGCTCCCGGGGAGTCCCAGCTTCCCACAGAGGCAGATCCGGATCCATGTGGCATATCTGGACCCACGTGGCCTATGGAGGTGCTAGGAATGGGCTCTTGTGCTTGGACTTCACTGCACAGACCCTAGAAAGAGAACATCCCTCAGCCCTGGGGAGAGGGGTCAGGTGGAGCACAGTGGGATTAGCTCGGGACTCACCGGGGTGTCCAAGGAGATGTGTTCTCTGTGGCAGAAAGACCAGGTTTGGCTGTGCAGGCTGGCTGGGAAGCCAGCTCTGGCACCTGAGTGCAGTGAAACCTCCAAATCCAAAGAACCCCAGTCCCAGGTCAAGTGCTTAGGCTTAGTCCAGAGAAGGGGGTGAGCTATCAGTGGCCTTGGGGTGACTGCAGCTGGTAACACCTTGCAAGATTTGATCTCATTTTCCCCCCACCATGCTGAAAACACTCCTGTCCATGTCCTCCAGCCCAGCTGGTCCTTCTTAAGTGACCAGCATGGTGCTGCCCCAGCCTAGCAGCCCCTAGCACAAGCAAATCCTAATCTCGGTTTTGTTTCTTTGTCTCTTTCTTTCTCCCTCCCCCTCTCTCCCCCAAAATCTCACT